GCAGCTGGTTGGTCTGCAGCTGGGGCCTGATCGGAGGGGGTGGAATCTGCAGCTGGTTGGTCCGAAGCTGGGGGCTGGTCGGAGGGCGTGGAATCTGCAGCTGGTTGGTCTGCAGCTGGGGGCTGATCGGAGGGGGTGGAATCTGCAGCTGGCTGATCCGCAGCCGGGGGCTGATCAGAGGGCGTGGACTCTGCAGCTGGTTGGTCTGCAGCTGGGGGCTGATCAGAGGGCGTGGAATCTGCAGCTGGGGAGGCCGTAGATTCGGACGCGAGCTGATCTGCAGCCGGGGCCTGGTCGGCGGGCTTGTCTGTAGCAGGTTGGTCTGCAGCCGGGAGCTGGTCTGAGGGCTTTTCTGAAGCAGCTGGTTGGTCTGGTTCGTCCGCAGCCGGGGACTGGTCTGAGGGCTCATCTGTAGCTGGTTGGTCCGCAGCTGGGACCTGATCAGAGGGGGTGGAATCTGCAGCTGGTTGGTCTGCAGCTGGGGGCTGATCGGAGGCCGTGGAATCTGCAGCTGGTTGGTCCGCAACCGGGGGCTGGTCGGCGGGTTCGTCTGCAGCTGGTTGGTCCGCAGCCGGGGGCTGATCGGAGGGCGTGGAATCGGACGCGGGCTGGTCCTCGGACGCCGGCGTGGTGTCTGAAGAGCTCCTCTTGCAGAACTCCTCGACCGTCGAGAAGATTTCAGCACATAGAGCTTCGAAATCAGTCACACCGGGAAACGGGTACGTGTCGGCCTTTTCGTGGACGGGATCCCCCGCAGAGTCGCTGGTCCACGCCTTAAAGATGAAAGCCAGCTCGTTTGAAGGGTTCCTGGTCGCACTCAGTTCTCCCTTGAACGTTGGCATGTATCTCCGATAGCATAAGGAGAGATTTTAAATTACTGCACTGAAAACATACGCGATGACTAACATAAAGTCATTCTTCAAGGGGTTGTGGAGGAACGCGTCTTCTCCTGCGATGTACGAGAACGTACTCATGCTGGTCGGTGGCGCTTTCGTGACCACTCTCATCGGCGACTTCATCACGAAGTCGTGTGGATTTCACGGCATGGGCGAATACATCGCGTGTGCCATCGTCACGACCATCCTATTGTATGCCGTCAACTTCGTCACCATCTATCTCCGGGTCGCCAAGCCCCTCCGTTGTATCACGATGCGTACGGTAGCTCTCGCATCGATAGCTCCGTCGATTCCTGGCCTCGTGAGCCTCTTGAGAATGATGAAGATGGTGCCCGGACTCGGCAAGATTTTTGGGATGTTGCTGGACAGAGCATTCGTCAGGGCACTCGTGACCATGTGGCCTACATTCATCTACGGAACGCTGGCTTTAGCGTCGCTCTCATGCTCGATCCATACGTGACACCGTTGAAAGACACATTCTCTCGTTATTACCAGTTTCGCCCAAACTGTCGCCTCTTTGACGTAACGCAGGTGACGAATCGGAGCGAGAAATGATAATAATACCAGAGTTGACTGGCTTTCCTCTGGCCGCCAGGGCTGGCCTGGTACCAGAAGAAACTTTTCGTTTTTAGGACATCACTTGCTGTGACTCCCTAGCTATACCGTAGACCTTCGGCCCATAACGAGTACACCTGCGGAACACCTCGCGAGCTGAATCACTGAGGTCCCATCGGAGGACTGAGATGGTGCCTTTTGAATGAAGGTCTCTATCCGTTTTGCGACGGGGTATTCTAGGAGCAAAGGTCCAAGGTCAGCGAAGCCCAGTGATGCAACATGTGTTAGCATACTATCCCTTAAGGAAGAAAGTTAGTCCATACAAACGCGGTCAAACGCGCTCAGAATTTCCAAGCGTTACGTTCGAAGTGCGACACTCTGGACGAAAAGGGTAATAATACAGGTTTTCGTATAGAGCGACCGAATATGCTCTATCCCCACCTAGGATGGGAACGGTCATCTGGTCGTCTTCGTAGACCGTTTCGCAGCCTATGTCGTCCTTCATGCAATTACGGTTCTTATAGTGCACGGGGAGCCTGATCGGCTCGTACGCACCCGTCTGAGTGTGGTAGAAGTATCGATCTCTATGCATGCAGCTCTTGGATGCGAAGAGCGGCAATACGTCGTTGCTCGCATCGCCTCGAGCGGAGAGCGTGCCCACTTGTCTGTACTCGCTGTGCTTTCTTCCCCTCGTGTCCGCGCACTCTCTATTGAGTAACCGAGTCGGTGAACCGCCCTGCAGGACCGGCACTATCACGATCCTTTGACTCTCGGTAGGTGCGTTCATACGCTCCCCGAGGGCGTTCCAGGGGATGCAAGAGAGCGCGAACGCGGTAGCTCCGAGGAGCAGGATGGAAAAGAGAAAGAGCAGCTTCATCATTCAACTATACCAACAAAATGTTGCTGTGGCTGACCGGTTGTGCTACTCGATTCTTGCACTTGTCGACGCGGATGGCAAAACTGATGTAACCGTCTAATCCCAAGTATTGTATCTTCTGCTTCTTGTCGGCCGTGAACGCTCGTACGGCTCGACGGACTCCAAAGCTATACTCGTATGGGCACTTGCTGGGATTCCTGTCGTAATCGTGACCGCAGATATAGCCTCCGTCTCGTACCTTTCGAAAGGACGCCTCGAGGTCTTTACGTGCTCCCTCGTAAGTGTGGTCCCCGTCTAAATATACTGCTTGGAAGTAATCGTCCGGAAATTGTTCCAGCGCCTTTGGCGACCAGTCCCTGTATATGTGCACACGCTCATCGTCTCGAAACATGTCTCGCACTTCTTCGAAAGCTGCTTCGCCATTGATATGTTCTATGCTCACGCCATCCGCGTTTCCACTGCATAAGTTCCCCTCGAAGGGATCTATGAGATGCAATTCGGCAGGGTCCAAGCTGCGCAAGAACTTTGCGAATCTGCCTCTGAAGACGCCTACTTCCAAGATTTTCGATCCTGGCTGCACGAGGTGCCGCATCATGTCCTCGCGAGTCTCGAAAGACTGCATGATGTCTCCCATGCTCGCTATAAAGATTCATGATAAGTATGCAGTGCTCATGGACGCAAGATGGGGTTGGGGCCAAATCTCATGCAAGAAATCATTTGAGTCGATATTAGTAGTTAGAGTTGGCTTGCGTGTTTATGACGAGTTCCAGCTCTGCCAACTTAGAAAATCTGCCAGTCGGGCCTTCCTGCCTGACATAACCCTACTCATCTTGCGTAGCTACTTCCCAACCTCGACTTCTCGCATCTTTGGCTGCCTCAATCAACTCCTGATCGGTTGTGCACAAGTATGTCTCGAAGGGCATCGGAGGAAACAACAGGATCACCCTAGGCGCGCCCGACCTGGGCTTCTCTGGATCCTCTACGAGGAACTTGTCCACACGCGTGCAGACCGGCGTGGCCCGCTGATTTAAGGGAACAGGGTTTAAGGTGTCCCTGAAGATCTGCAAGCGGACATTTAGCTCCAGGGCGGGGTTGGACCCTATCCTCAGGATATAAGCACTCTTGAAGCCGTCCATGTCACCCAACCAACTGACGGAGTTAGTCCAGCTCTCCTTGTTGCGGAGCAGGGTCACCTCTCGCAGGCGGGGAGAGCACTTTAGAGCGCTCAGGTCGAAAGGCAGATGCCCCTCCAGGATGCCGCATATGGTGACCGCCTCTAGCCTCGGGAAAGAGGGCACTCCGAAGCCCTTGTAACCCCCGTCGTGCACCGCCAGATATAGCCGCTCCACGTTGGGAAACATCCACAGGGGCACCAACTCCGCCGGCACCAGGGTCAGCAGGCGCACGTCCGTAGCCTTGGGCAGCGTTGCGAGGTCCCCGGCACCCGCCAGGCACAGTCTGTCCTCGCAACAACAACACACCACTCCAGGCAGGGCAGGCTTGCGCGTGTCCCTATCGCTCAATACCCCGTGCCCGCTGCACCTTCCGCAGCGGCACTGCCCACCACAGAGCCGACTCTCTTGGACCATGGGCCTGTAGTCCTCCTCCCAATCGATGGTAACCTTGGAGATCACATCGGCCTTCTTGAACAAGAAATCGACGAAGAAGTTTCTGACGGCCCTCTTCTCCCTGGTCCGACACTTTGGGTGCCCCAGCACTTCCTCAGCCGTCACGCGCACTTCCCTCTTCAGCACCTCGTCCATCTCCCGGGCATACGCCTTGCTGGTGGAACCCCAGCAGACCAGATCCCTGAGCGTCATCTTGGACAGCACGAGGGCCAGCACTTCAGGAGGGAGGTCCAGCCAAGACCGCGGAAGCACATCCTGGCCCACCGCCGCTCCAGGACTACCTTCCTGCTCCTGCTTTCGCGCGGTTCCCTTCTTGCGCTTTCGCGGCGCCATCTCCCCCCTGGTGCCTACTCTTCAGTCTGCTTCTCAAATCAAACTTCCAGCCATAATGTAGGCAGAACCACACAGCACTGTGGTCTAGGGTTTGACGAATTGGCGGCGAATATCGACGGTCGGTACTTTTTGCACGTGTAAAATTCGTATTATTGCCGCGTAGGATTTGCGCGGCAAATTTTTCGCCCTTATTCGGTCACTGCCCAAAGAATCGGACTGGGTGGTAATCAAGACTTGAAAGAGCCCGGAATAGGGTTGAGGAGAGAATGTGAGGAGAGAAAGAGGATTCCAGGTCGTCCCGGTCACGTTTTATCGAGGGATTCATATCTTTGAGCACCATGGTAGCGCGCAGGAGGCACGCGCCCGTCTCTCTGGTAGCCGGCTATGAGGTGATGGACGTTCCCCGTGATGGAGACTGCTTCTTCTCGGCTGTCATCGCTTCAGCGCACCTGTCGATCGACGTGCCACACCTGAGGAAGAAAGCACATGAGATTGCGCTCAATGCCGGGCTGGATGAAGAGCTGCAGTTGGCGGTCCAGTTTGGCAAAGTGGAGGTGAGGCTCTGAGCTCCTGCATCATCGCTGCAAAGAGTGAGTCTTCTGTATGATGCCATGCTATGAGTGGTTGAGAATCTAAGAAGAGGCTGAGCTGACTACCATCCGATTTCCTTGTAGAATGTTGCGAAAGCTGGACGGTGGTCCGGTGACCTGGAGGCTATGTGCGTAGCCAGATTCTTGGGGAGGGACATCATCGTTCACAGGGAAGGAGGGGCAGATGTCTACACTCCACCCAGGCTTTCGGGTGGTGACCCTATTCATCTTCAGCTCACAAAGCTCAGGAACAATGGTCATTACGTGGGCCTGAGGAAGCTGGAGACAGAGGATCCTTCGCTGCTCAAAGATATCACCAACAGCGAGGTGAAGCCTCTGAAGGTGAAGCAGGACTCGTTGGAAGCACTCGTTGCGGACGCAAAAGCCTTCGCAGCAGAGGTGGGCGTGGAGCAGCCTCTGGTGAAGGAGGACCCTATGGAAACCCTCGTAACAGACACAAAAGAGTGAGTCTGTTCTAGGCAGGGCGCTGCACCCGCGATGCCAAGTTGCAGGGTTCCTTGGAACAACATTGTACATTGTTTGTATAGGGAAAGATACCACACCCAGACGCCTTTCAAGCTTGCGCGGGAAAGTACTGTTGGCTTTCACTGACATGGACTCCCTTGCCGAGTTGCATGAGTTGTGTACGCTGGTCGACAAGATTTTTTACTTGTGTGAGAAGAGTTTTGGCTGTGTCTGGATACAGTGGCAATTCGAAACGCTCTTGAAAGGTAACAAAGAACTGAGTGGCTGGTACGAGAAGTTCCGGTGTTGGTACTGCAAAAGCTGCCGATACGAGTTGACCCTCATCGTCAGCAATCACTTTGCTGAGATCAAGGATTTTTGGAGTTCTGGAAATTCTAACGATTCGATGCTCGTAGGACAAACTGGGAACTGAAAAGCAGCCTCGTACAGGACTGGGCGAGTGCAGGTACCAAGGAAGCCTTGCTGCCGTACAGGTTGGCGGATGGTCTCGTGTCTTTCGGTGTTGACGCTGCACTTCTGATCGCTCAGAAGGCGAGCATGGAGAAGCGAATGACTGCTCTCGAAGCAGAGGTGAAGGAGCAGAAAGTCATCGCGGCAAATTGTCGCCGCCGCGCTGAGAGGGTCGAGGTAAGGACACCGGAATCCAATGCATATCAAGGACTCGCTTCGTAGTCTGTCTTGATTACATTAGCACAGGCCTCTTGAAAGAAGCCGTGTCCTTGAGTGATTTGACGCGTGCTCTCTGCAGGAGGAGAGCGTCGTGTTGCGCCAGAAGTTGGAAGCCTTCGAGGCGCGCGCGAGGAAGGACGCGTACCACCATCAACGGTTGGCAGAAGAAGTAGCCCGCTATCGATCGCAGCGGGTTTGACTGAGATGATATTCGTGTAGAGCGTGGAGAGGAGATAGGACGACTCGTCCTTGCTACGCTAGAACATTGACCAACTTCAGTTTTTGCTTCACGCACACGCTTTAGACATCCTCGGGGATCTCATCCAGAGCCTCGCGCTCTTTCTTCCAAGGGTCTATGAAATCCATCTTGCTCGCTTCTTCGGGAAGTATGAGCTGCTCATGGACCAACGCATCACGCAGATCCCGTGCCGTCAATGCACCTCTTGTGAGTGGATGGAATATGGACGCACATCTAGATGGTAGCATGACGGAGACATGGCGATGGGTTTTGCAGACGAGCGGTGTGGTAGCTCTGTCTCTGCTGTCCTTGAAAGAGCTCTTCGCATGGATGCCCATCTCATCGAGCCACTCTTCGACTTCCGAGATGGTCGCATTATTGTCCTGTGGTGTGCTCATAGAGGCCAGCGATCTGATGCAACCTGAAGCCTGTGCTCGTCTCTGCTCGATTGAAGTGCGTTTTGATCCAAGCCACTGCCGACTTGGTCTTCGCTTGTGCTTTCAACATGGACTTGAGGACGGCGTCATCATGTCGCTGATGGAGCGCTCTCACTAACTTTTGCAGATCCATAGCATAGCATGACTTGAGAGAGAAGTGAGTCGGTCTGAACCGAGTGCTCTTCAAATACCACTGCGCGTCTCTATAAGGCTACTTATTCTCCTACTTCCACCTCAAGACAGATGGTAACCTTCTTGGATGTCTTCTGTGGAGCTGGGGGTTGGACATCAGGACTCATACAGTCTGTTCAGA